TTGTCTCAACAGTGGCAAATGAAATATCTGCCAAATACTCTTTAAAAGTCAAAGTTTGGTGGCACGAGGATCAGTAGAAGGCCCAGCTGATGTTGATGGATCACTGTTCCGCAAGGTCTTTGATTCGTCAGACTTTCGAAGATCCATCCCACAGTTAGCACAAAAATTACCCCTTGTATTTAGTGAACTCCCGCATACTGTACAAAACATGGTGTTCAAGTTCACATTACCAACAGCCGGGAAAGATAATACGAACATATACATGAACGCTAAATGTAATAAATACTTCACGAATGTTCTGTATTTATCTTACTTTCTCGAAATAAAACGAAAATATAAGAATATGACAATATTCTGCACTTCGGCAACTTTGTAAATTCAGAACACATTTGGCGAGCAAACTAACCGGATATGAATTTTGCATATTATAATTTGTGTTTGTGTGTGTGAATTTACGTTTGTGTATTTGAATTTGCGTTTGTGTATTTGAATTTCCGTTTGTGTATTGCACCTCTAGGCCTCCGTAAATTACTGCTAGTAATACAGTATTTTGAGATAATATTGCATTTTTTTATGGATAAGTGTGTAATAACTGATTGTTGACAGCTGCTAAATGTCATTACATATCGCTAGAATCGAGGATTACGAAAAACATGAAAGAAATGCCTTTAAGTCGAACTTACGAAATTTGATTGCGTATGGTGATTGTTGTGCTGAACTGCTTTTGATATAAGGTTCAATTAACTGACTCAAGCCGAGATCATATTTGGGCCAAATAACATTGCAAAGTTCGTGCTAATGCAGTTTCAATAGTTTCCTTACTCCAAAGCTTGTTTTCTAGTCGAAGATGATTTCTCATTATGTTGTGAAATGGGTCAATTTACAAACTTCTCAATTCTTAGCCACTTCCACACTAAAACAAACAACTACACCAAATTACAGAAACTCTTACGACTTTCCATGTTGAATTTTGTATTTTTAGTTCATCATTTAAAAATAAAGTAATTATAATTAGGATATTCACTGAAACAGCTGAGTACACTATATATTTGGTAATGATTTTACAAATGTACCCTACTTCTGTAGCTCAAAGTAGAACAGTACTTCTCTTCTAGACTTGTCAATGACATTTTAATTGTAGGTTTTGGTTTATAAGATCACAGAGGCATATCTCCATAATTTCAGCTATTTGGGCTTTTTAATGTATATTACAACGGTTGCTGCCTTTCTGATATATATTAAAAATTGCTGGCTTTCCGATGTATATTAAAGTGCTGCCAGCTTTTTGATATATATATTTCACTGGCAATACAAGGCATAAAATTTGAAGAAACAGGGCTGAGCCCCCTCCAACACACCTCGATCTGTATGATCAATAAACACATACAGAAGTTGCGTCATTATTCAACCCATATATTTCACTCTTTGCTAAATTAAAGATCGGATCAAACTCATATGCTGTATAAAAGACGACAAACAGTATCATTTATAGCAAACAGGCTGTACTTCAACAACAGAAATTTTTTATGTTATAGAAATAATATATTGATTTTAAAGAAATGTTTCACCAAAATTTTCAGCAGAATCCTTAACAAACTTAATTACAAATAAACTTTAATACTTTATAAAGTGTTAAAGGCGAAATGACTTTGTACAGCGTAAATTGTTTTAAGAATGGTCAACGACGAAATACAGCTTGTAATTAATTTTACTGCATCAAAAGTGTGTACTCAAAATATAGCTATATTTGAAAATGATCCGTATCAAGTGCCACGTTTTAAAGGCTTCTTTGTAAGTCGTGCATATAAAACAATTACTTAATTCAATTGAGTGCAGAGACAGAATTTCAAAAGGATACATATCACTTGTAGACAGGAATACAGTTGGGTTGAGTTTTAGGCATAAAAATTTATATAATTTGTAAATTTGTTATGTTTTATACAACAAAATATCAAATAAGTAAACAACAGGATGTGTAATCAACTCATTCATAATCTCCACTCTGTTGATAAAATTATGAACTGTAACGATGCCTTCAATTAAGAAGGCGCTAGAATTGTCGCCCCAATACAGTACATCTGGTCAAAAGGCTGATAATTTATATCGTTACATCTATCTCCTCGTAAGGAACAAAACAAGGTTATAATTTGAAGGACCTAAGAGCAGTTTTCATAAAAATTGGTAATACATGTAGAACGTTCTTCATAATATACGTCCTATAGAAGATTTTCTTTTGACTGAGGGGTTTGATGTGTCGGTGTCTGGTCGTGCCTGATTAATTTCTATACTGACATTTAGGGACGTGTCTTGCGTAGAGAACTTAACAGCAACGATTGCTGATTTGGGTCTTCGGACTCAGATTGTTCATTTTCTTTCTCAGAAAATCGTTTTCTTGGTAGATTAAAGTCATCTCCGAATCGTTAGGAATAAATGAGTAATTCGGAGCAAAAACTTAAGCGTCGTTTATGTTGACGAAAGCGCGCCAAAAAGAAATGCAATGATGCGCATGCGTATTAATTTTATATTGTACCCAGCCATTGTAACCAGCATGCTCTCTCTGCAATCTTCAGAAACGTTGTGAATATCATTGGGACTAGTGTAGAAGATTCTGCCAGAACGTAACATCATGCAGCTGAGGAAAATATATCAGTTTTAAAGAGGAATGATTTGTCAATCACTTTGAAAATACAAGTTCTTATTAAAGGTCTTGTAAAATTGACGTGTTGCTTACAAAGGCCAAGAGAATTGATACAATACGGGCATATTCAACTATTTCAAGTTACATCATCGATGTGAGGTTCTCTAAGTGATGATCACGTTTTTAATAAGGCATGAGCGTACATACACAATAAAAAAACACATGTTGTAGACAAGTGAAAAATTAATCATTTTAAGAAATATACAACAAATGAAATTACTTCAACTAATATCATTATAACTTATATATTTGTAAAGGCCACGTTTGTGTCTATTACAGTTCCTTTGAAAATAAAGCATGAATTAATTATCAATTTCAATAGCTTGCTGAAACCAAAAATAAGCACATCAATATAAGCTACTTTTAGAAATGAATAATTTCGGTCAATTTGAGAGGTAGAAGTTTATAGCTACATACCTTGATGGTAGCTATGTTTCAAGTGATGTTTAGTTTTTTAGTTCTCAAGTTTTAGTCCAGCTTTTCAACATCCTTATTCATGTCTATACAAATTTAACGGTAAATAAAACATTTTTCTCATTTTCGACTACGTTCAAAAAAGAATGTCATGTACATTCATAATTTTAAAGTAGAAGTTTCAAAAATTCATGTTGATGACGTTAATATGTACGTAAATGCATTTGTTGTTCGTTATGAAACAACAATTTCCTTCAATGCAAAGTTGATATTAACAATAAATTTGCTGTTTGAAATAATAGAGTTATATTTATATAATTTTTATACTGCAGACAGCTGGGGGGAATTGTCGCCAGTTTCGTTCAATATAGCTGCGACATAATTTGTTTTAAGAATGGTCAACGGCGAAATACAGCTTGTAACAAATTTTACTGCATCAAAAATATATACACAAAATATAGCTATATTTGAAAATGATCCGTATCGAGTGCCACGTTTTAAAGGTTTCTTTGTAAGTCTTGTATGAATAAATTACTTAATTTAATTGAGTGTTGAGACTGAATGTGAAAACAAGAATACACAGCTCTCACTTGTAGACAGGAATACAGTTGGGTTGAGTTTTAGGCATAGAAATTTATATAATTTGTAAATTTGTTATATTTATACAACAAAATGTCAAATAAGTAAACAACAGGATGTGTAATCAACTACAAATTTGACACATACAATGCAATATTTCAGTTTAAATTTGTAGACAAACTGTTGTGTCTGTTGTTCCTTATAAATAGTAAAATTGATTTTCATACTAAGGACAACAGAAATTTTTTCGTGCTAGTTGATTTACATCAAGGTTTGACTATATACAATAAAATGGTGGCGCAAAATTCGTCATTTAAACTTCGCATAGTCAAGCAGAACTTATAATAGTGCAAATTCATTGAACGAAACTTCGAGCATGAAAAGACTACTGTCTAAATCTCAAATAATTAAACTCTTTTATTATCAGCTGAAACCATCCTATTCTTCATGAATACTGAACATGAAATTACGTGCATGCATCATCGATAGTTGGCAATAAATTATTAAAATACAGTTGACCCAAGTACATAAAAAGAGCTTTCATGATCTTGTCCTCACTCTAAGCTTGTGGATATCAATCACTTATCACAAAATGGCGAAATATACTTTTGCGTTCGTCGTAATTTTTTGTATTGGTGATATTATTGAAGGGTAAGTCATCATATTTTAAGTTAAATTTTGGGATTTTTCACTAACTTTTGTTGAACGCCGTCAATGTGTCTATGAGGTTTTACGGCATATCTTAACGAGTAAATAAACATCAAGCCGTTTTCAGTTAGCTGCACTATGTTAAGTCATCAATCTATTTACGAGTTTGTTTTAAAACAATTTCATCTTTTGGCTATATTAAATCAATGATTAGAGGAATATTATGTCGTAATGGATATAGTAATAAAGAAAGTATATGTATTGATCTCATTTCCTTCATCATTTCCATAGAGCAAATTTAACAAGTGAAAAAGAAATTAATTTCAAAGATAATTTCTCATCGCTCAACTTTGACATGAAACGCACTTTGAAAGTTGTTCAAAGAAATGTAACATTAAAGACACAAATTGCATTAATAAAAGGGCAAATAAAGACACTGAAAAAATATCACAAAAATCTACAAACACAAAAAAAGCACCTTCAGGCATTTAAGATTGCGCTTCATTCCAAAATCAACAAGACACATGTACAAACGTACAAATTAGTAAAATTGCAAAAACAAATTAAGAACATTGAAGTTAAAATGATTAATTTGTCATTACAAATGAAAACAATCGATGTGAAAGTAGCAACAATTCAAACACAGTTAAAAAAACTTGAAAAACAACTGAAAACTCTTTACAAAGAAAATAAAAAACTCACAGGAAAATCACTAATAGGTAAGAATAATTTTGAGATATCAAGATAACATTTAACAACATATTATTTCATGGCAGAATTCTTTTATTTACATTACCAGGGAAAGATTGTGCAGATCTTTACAAAAATGGTGCAAAAAAGAACGGGAGTTTATCAAATTAATCCTGATGGTCAGGGTCACTTTAAGGTTTTCTGTGATATGAAGTCCTCTGGTGGAGGTTGGACTGTGTTTCAACGACGTCAAGATGGAAGTGTAAACTTCTATCGAGGTTGGAAAGACTATAAACAAGGTTTTGGTGATCTGAAAGGCGAATTCTGGCTTGGATTGGAGAAAATATACCGACTAACATCAGCAAGGAGAAATAAACTTCGTGTTGACCTAGGAGACTGGTCGGGAAACAAAAGATATGCTGAATATGATTATTTTGCTGTAAAGAATGAAAACAAAAAATATCAACTAAGTCTTGGTGAATATTCTGGTAAGTCAATAGGCAAATAAAAACAATCCAAGCACAAAGTTCAAAGGGTAATAGGATAAAGATTATATTGGCATTAAATTAAAACGATTTGGATATGTTCGATTCTTTGTCTACTAAGACGAATAACCATTGACTATGCGTCTAGACGTACAATGCGTCTTGTGCCCGTCTTTACACTGAAGACGCATAACCAGACGAAGAAAATCTCTTGCCCAAGTTCGTCCAGACGCATTATGCGTCTCTTGTATAAAAACGGCCAATGATAAGCTCGCGCCTGAACATCATGTAGCTAATAAAACACGACTAAATTATTTGGTACATAAGGGAGAATCTCTACTGTGAATACCATTGTCAAATGAAGATTGACTGAAGTCCTTTTTACATGTAAGCCCCTGGTAATCAATCGTGAATGCAAGTGTCAATGTAAATTATATATACATTATAACTTGTTCTTGTGTTAATGCAAGTTCAAAAGAATTCTATAACTGCATTAAATGCGATTTTTGAAAGTAATTACTTTTCTTAGGAAATGCTGGAGATTCACTATATTATCAAAAAAACATGGCGTTTTCAACAAAAGATTCAGATAATGATCGATGGAGAAGCAACTGTGCCACATACTACAAAGGTGCTTGGTGGTATAAGAGTTGTTATCTATCTAACCTGAATGGACACTACTATAGTGGCAACCAAAACAATGGCAAAGGTGTGAATTGGAACCGTTGGAAAGGTAGTAAATCCTTAAAGTTCACTGAGATGAAAATAAAACCATAAAGAATTTTCAGACTGCGATGTTATAAATTTGATCATTATTTCTAATGAAACTTTCAACATATAATAAAAACATTTTAGCTTTTATGTCTTCAAAAAGAACTTTAATAATCATTATCATTTAAAAAAGCGTTGAAAAATTGTTAAAAATGCTGTGGTGAAACAATATTTTCCCTAAAAATTAGACCTGATTTAGGTAATTATATGGCTTTAATGTTACGTTTTTTCACTCAATTCTTTAATGAAATTTTTTCTCTGTAAGTAGCTAATTCTATCCTTTCGCCACGTTCCACGCAATCTTGGTGTATTATGCATTTCATTCAATTATCTTACATCATTATTCACTATGTAAGCAATGTTGCTTTTGATTGGTCAACTACCTGCAAATAATTATACATATCTGTAGGTAAGACGTCTATTTACAAATAACAGTTTGTCATAAAAAGCCGATTTTGAAAAAAATTCAAATCATCACCCGTGTCGCATGTTCTTAATCGTCTGAAGCAAGACTTCTTAAATGGAGAACGTCGCATGTATGTGTTGTAGGAGATCCTCAAAGCGTTCTAATTGACGCCATATTTAATTTATATATGCACCAATCTATATATCATCAACACACGACATGCACACGACACACGTGTACCTTATCAACATGGCGGCAACTGGAATACATTATAAAGTAATAATTGACTTGCAAAAAGCTATCTTGAAGTCTTATTACGATCAGGGAATGAATACAAAGGCAAAGGAGAAACATGAAACAATACAAAAGACAGCTGATGAGGCATGGACTACATTCGAAAAAGTTAAAGTGAGTGAGTATTTCTACCTACTTTTTACTTGGAAGGGCAGGCTACTGCAGCACTCTCTGATTTGTGCGCACTAAAATGTCGTATCCAAATCTGTGACCATAACCTATTTCTAGTTTGAAGTATTAGCATACATATATTTTGTTAAAGGTACTGAAATTTGTCATACGTAAGTTTGCTTGGAAAGGCAAAAACAGCCAACTATAGACACGTTAATGATGTTGTATTTCCTATGTTCAGAAGCTGCGCATTATTTCTTCGACTAAATGCGCTTTTATATAATAACAAAATGCCTTAATGGTAATATTTTGGCCTTGTGTGATGTGCTTTTGCTTAGGAAAGACTAAAATTAAGAATAATTTGGGATAAAAAATGATTTGTGTCGGAATATTTTTGTAGCAGTTTTTGGTTTGAAGAATGCTGTTGTGAAAAAACAAATTCTATTTCTATTTTTTTTCCAAATGAAGGGAGATTTATTCATATTGTTCTACTGTGACGCCTTTTCTCTCATTTCTTTGACGTTTGTGGTGAAAGTAAATTGCAAAAAATTTGGATGTTTTTTGCCTCGTTCTCACGCCATCTTGGATTTATCATGCATGTCATGCAACTATCTTATATATTATCTGGAAGGTCATGCAATAATACTGTTGCCACCCAAGAGAATGTTTGCACAGCACCTACAGACAACACAATATATCTAAATGTTTGTTGTTTAGTTTTTAGAGATTCACCATTACAGTTATTATGAATTTGAGAACTTGTGTAGAAATTAACACACAAATTAACACAGTTTTGCACTATTTCATATCTTTGGAGTGATTGTTATATTTGCCAATTGGCATGTTCATATATAAAAAATATATTCTGGTCATTTTGGAATCCAAATCAAGGTATATAAAGGTTATATCCTGATTTAAAGGTCATAACATTGTAGTTAAAACATACAAACATAACTTTATAAAATTGTTAATAGTTTACATTAACTTTATTATAGTCAGAAAACTGCATTTGGAATTACGACAAGACAGTAGTGAGCCCTGTCTGTGACAGTTTGCAACCGGAAAGTAACGTAATAGCAAGTCAAGCAATAGAGGTAACAAGGGATAAATGCCAAATAGATTGATATTGGCGGAAGTGGTGGGTGGATTTTTGTCTATATTCATAAGAAATTTTCAAATTGTCGCCACATATAAAATAAAAGCAAAGTATGAACAGTCTGTGTAGACACACAGTGAAAATTATAAAGTTTCTACCCAAATGATCCAACTCTTAAATTATGTAAAATGCTGTCATTTTTCTTTAAAATCAAATCTGAAACCAAAAGTAAATCCGACTTTGAGGATCTGAAACCCCAAATTACTGCTATAAACAATAACACAATAGCCAAAAGAAATCATTGAAGTTTTTTAAATCCAGATCATCCTGCCTTGAGAATGAATAAAAAAATACGCCGTCAAAGACACATTCAAACTTACGTTACATTAAAGCCATTACTGTTAGTAATTAGAAAATCAAAAAGTAACTCTGTTATTCAAGAAGACTTTGAATGAAGACGCAAATAAACAATTGTGTTGGTGGAGACAATTTACATACATGCTACATCTGAATGATATCCAAAAAATGAATTTCTTGTTCATCAGCAACTTGTGACGGGCTCAAATTCACCCTAAACATCACAATGGATTTTACCATTATCATGACGTAACTTGTCTCCAGGTTTCTCCTCGGAAAAATGCCTGAAATGATTTAAGCATTCCATTCGAAAAAGGGCGTATTCCTGAAAGAAAAGACAAGTAATCAAGCAGATGAAGTCATATTAACTACACATCAACTTTACCCTTAAGGAGGTCCATAACATCATTCCATTATACTGACCAGGCAATCTTATCAAAATAAAATTGAGAAAATATTTACTGCAAAAATATAAACAAACTTGTGTACATGCTAGTGGAGCAATTCAACGTTCTACATGGACGCTGGAACGTCGATATTAGGGGGCAAATATTCATATGTGTGTGTTTCAGATGATTACCTTCTTTGAAATCAATTGTATTCTAGGAGATGTGACTACGAATATATGAATATTCTCCACCCTCCCTTCAATTATCGACGTTCCGGCGTCCTTGACGTCATACAATACACGAATTAAATTGCACGCAAATGACTCTGTTTGTCTGTTTTATTTTTAATAATATTTCCTTTGAACATATTTTACTGAATAAAAAGGGAAATGCTTTTTATCCATCATTTATAACGCAACAACAATATAAAACGCGTACGTAGCTTGGTGTACAGTTGGGTTTTCTTTAGCCTGTGAAAATGTGTAAGTCGATTTGAGCCACTGAACTAAAAAACATGGAACGATACCAGTAATAGAAAAGCCTAATAATTTTTTGAAGCCAAATTTCACACACAGACACGCGAGATTACACCCAGACACGCGTGTGTAGTCAATCAATTTTCACTCCGCGAGAGAATCTCGAAACACTACACACGCGTATCTGGTGTAAAATTTGGCTTCAAATATTCTCTTAAGGTAGCGTTCCATGTATTTTTAGTTTAATGATCTGAGCTTAATAATTAAATCAATTCAAGAGAATTTAGAAATCAATCATCAATACATGTAAAAAGAAAAAGTGAAAAAGTTCTTTTAAATTTATATTTATATAGAAATTATATAAAATAAGTATAATCGTTTCGATTATACTTATTTTATATAATTTCTAATTAGCAGCAATTTTAAAAAACACTTGAGAAAAACGACGATTTTTTTGAGAGCAAACATGTTTCGACATTATCAGAATGCCATCTTCAGTGCAGAATGATTAGTGTTAAGTAATATGATACATAATATGATATGAGTAAATTAATTACAATGAGTATTAAGTATTAATAACTATAACGTAAGTTCTAAAAATAAGTATTAAGAATTTATAACAAAAGTATTATTATAAAGTAAATATAGTGTTGTAGTGGTGAACTTGGATATTTAAATCGGGATTAGTTTTATTAATGTGTAGAGCTTCCTTGATTTTGAGTGAGAAAGTGGATTGATCAGTGTCGATGATTTTCATGGGTTTTCACGAACGAAACTGGTTAAATAACTACAGCAACAACAAACCTTTATTTTACCGCAGATACGTTGACGACATTTTTTGTATTTTTCATAACAAAGACGAAGCATTACTCTTTTACGAATACATCAACAAACAACATCAAAGCATAAACTTTACATACGAAACCGAACAAGACAATCAGTTACCCTTTCTTGACATCTTACTAACTAAATCACATGAAAACTGTATGACCACTACGTACCACAAACCAACATATACAGGACTACTGACTAACTTTTTTAGTTTCACACCATTAAATTACAAAATTGGACTGATACGAACACTGACCGACAGAGCACGGAAACTCAACAACACAGACATCGGCTTTCAACGTGATTTAAAGAAACTAATATTAACTCTCCAACGTAATTCTTTTCCTTTTCATTTCATCAACAACACTATACAACACTATTTGGACAACAAGAAAAGCACTGACTCATCTAACTCCACAACTAACACTAACGATATACAACAACCTGACAATAAACGTTATTTCAAACTACCTTACATAGGTGATTACTCACGACACACACAACGCAAACTCACACAAATCATTAAACGCTACTGCACTGACATTGACGTTAAACTTATTTTCACATCTTTCAAAATAAAATCTTTATTTTCGTTTAAAGACCCACTTCCCGAACTTTCCAAATCTATGGTAGTTTATCAATTTTCATGTGCGGGATGTAATTCCCGTTATATTGGTGAAACGTCTCGCCAATTATCTACCAGGATAAAGGAACATACTCACACAGACAAAAACTCCACTATCTACAAACATCTTCAAGCCTCTCCTTCATGTAAAAACAAATTCTCACCTTCCTGTTTTAAAATCATCGACACTGATCAATCCACTTTCTCACTCAAAATCAAGGAAGCTCTACACATTAATAAAACTAATCCCGATTTAAATATCCAAGTTCACCACTACAACACTATATTTACTTTATAATAATACTTTTGTTATAAATTCTTAATACTTATTTTTAGAACTTACGTTATAGTTATTAATACTTAATACTCATTGTAATTAATTTACTCATATCATATTATGTATCATATTACTTAACACTAA